CAATTTGGTGCACATTAAGATTCTTCGTTTTGATAATGGCCGAGAGTATTTTTACACACCATTTTAGGAATATTTGGAAGAACATGGCATTATCCATCAAACCTCATGTACCTACACCCCTTAGCAAAATGGGGTGGCTGAGAGAAAGAACCGCCACCTTTTGGAAACTGCTTGGTCCCTTTTGCACCATATGAATGTTCCTAAACACTTTGGGAGCGATGCTATGCTTACATCTTGTTTCCTTATTGACCACATGCCCATGTCTATCCTTGAAGGCCATTCCCCATTCTCTGTTTTGTTTCCTATTTTGTCTCATTTTCCTCTTCCCCCCAGGGTTTTTAGGTGTTTGTTTTGTCCATAATCTTGGTCCTAGGATGGACAAGTTAGATGCTCGATCCACTAAGTGTATCTTTCTTGGCTATTCTAGGACTTATAAAGGGTATAAGTGTTATAAGCCCAGTTCCCAGCGTTCTTTTGTGTGCCCTGATGTAACGTTCTTTGAGTCCATTCCATTTTTCTCTAGGTCGGGTGTCTCTTCTCTTCCTCCACCTCCCCTTCATGTTCCCATTGAGGACCCCATTCCTCTTGTTCCAGTTGTGACCAAGTCTTTGCTTCTAGTGCAACTTCTTGTTGAACGACCACCCATCCAACGAGTGTATACGCATTGTCATGTACCAGCTCCTCCTCTAGCTTCGTCACCGTCAACAGATCCGACAAATGTTCCCAACCCAGCCCCACCCCCTATTTCTAACCTTGATCTCCCTATTGCTTTGTGGAAAAGGTAAATGCAGTTCCACTCTTCATCCCATTTCTAATTATGTTTTCGTATCTCACTTTTCTACTTCCCATCGTTAGTTTATTTTTATGTTATCCTTTGTTTCTGTTCTTAAGGATGTCTAGGAAGCCCTTACTTTTCTGCGTGGCGCCAAGCAATGGAAGAAGAACTCTCGGCTCTATTTCATAATCATACATGGGACCTCACCACTCTTCCACCTGGTAAGCATGTTGTAGGTTGTAAGTGGGTGTACACTGTTAAGTTTTTACCTGATGGGAGTGTTGAGAGGTTAAAAGCTCGGTTGGTTGCCAAAGGTTATTCACAATGTATGGTATAGATTACACAGACACCTCCCCAGTTGCCAAGATTGGCTCCATTCGTATTTTGATCTCCCTTGTTGCTATGTATGATTGGCCTTTGTTTCAGCTTGACATCAAGAATGCCCTTTTACATGGTGACCTCCTTGAGGAAGTGTATATGAAGCAACCAGGGTTTGTTGCTCAGGGAGAGGATGGTAAGGTGTATAGACTTAAGAAGGTTATTTATGAGCTTAAATAGTCTCCCCGTGCAGGGTATGGAAGATTCAGTGAAGTGGTGAAGGAATTTGGCATGAAACAGTGTTAGGTCGACCATTCTGTATTCAACTATGAGCCTAGTGCTAGAAAGATTTTATTGGTGGTATATGTAGATAATATTGTTATAATTGTAAGTGATAGGTTAGGGATTGATAGGTTGAAACTTTCTTGCATGATCACTTCCAGACAAAGGACCTTGGCAAATTAAGATACTTCTTAAGGATAGAGGTAGTGAGGTCTAAGCATGGTATTAATTTGTGTCAGAGGAAATATGTTCTTGATTTGCTAGAGGAGACAGGGTTGTTAGGTGTCAAACCAGCTGAAACACCCATGTAACCGAATGTCAAGTTAAGTAGTGATGCAGGTGAGGAGTTTGAAGATCTTGAAAGGTATAGGAGATTGGTAGGTAAGTTGAACTACCTAACCACTTGGCCTGATATTTCATTTGTAGTTAGTGTAGTGAGCCAGTTTATGTAGAATCCCCAAATCCCACATTGGGATGCGGTTCTAAGAATTATATGGTGTACTTGAAGGGAGCTCCAAGTCATGGCTTGTTATATAAAAATGGAGGAAGTCTTGAGATAGAGGGATACACTGATGCTAACTAGGTCGGTTCCATATCTAACAGAAGGTCCACTATAGGGTATTGCACGTTTCTTGGGGCAATTTGGTGACATGGAAGAGTAAGACGCAGATAGTGGTAGCAAAAAGCAGTGCAGAAGTTGAATATAGAGCCATGGCACACACAACATGTGAACTAGTGTGGTTGAAGCATCTCTTAGAGGAAATGGGGTACTTGATTAACATTCCTATGAAGTTGTATTATGATAACCAAGTTGTGTTTCATATTTCTTCTAATCATGTGTTTCATGAAAGAACAAAGCATATAAAAGTTGATTGTCACTTTGTAAAAGAGGTGCTTAGTGGAGTGATAAGTACAATATATGTGAACACAGGAAATCAATGGGCAGATTTGTTTACCAAAGGGTTGAGTCGGGGAAGAGTGGATTACATATGTAACAAGCTGGGACTATATGACATATACTCACCAGCTTGAGGAGGAGTGTTAGAGTCGGTTGTAGAGGGGTAGTATAGTCAATTTACATTGTTTTACATGCTTGATGTAGTTACAAGTAGATCCTAAGTTAAGTGATGTGTCCCACACTTAAGTGGGGGCACAATAGTCATTGTGCATTGTTTTAGAAAACTATAAATAAAATTGGCCAACTAGAGAGATGTCTCATGTTCGAACCAGACCTTTTCTCTTCTTCTCCTCTTCTCTTCTCTTCTCTTCTCTTTCTTCTACTCTTTCACCATTATTTCTCTCTCCTTACTATTTCGAACCTTAGAACATTACAGGTCTGAACTTTATCAAGCGGCAATGTTAATGGCCACCTTGTTGTCATAGTAAAGGGACATTGGGTCGTCAATTGAATAATCCAATTCACCAATTAAAATTTTCACCCAAAGTACTTCAGCAAAGTTTGGGAGGCACCAATAATGAAAGTGGTGTCATCAACAAACTAAAGCAAACCCGCCTTGGAAGCCCCCTCCTTTACTCCAAAGTTGTCAACATATCCTCCTATAAAACTTGACCTATCAGCCTGGCCATTGCCTCTTTCACACAAATAAACAGAAGAGCAGATATGGGGTACTCTTTCTTGTGGCTATTAGTGGTATTTTAACCATGGATCATTTAAAGAATAGAGGCTTTTGAATGTATAGAGTTTTTCTTTTATGCAACAATCATGAGACTGGAAAATGCATACTCATTCAGAGTAGAACGGAGGAATTTGTATGATCTTTCTCCTATTCCTTGTTTAGAATAATGGATCTTTAGTTCTCCACAGGACTATTTTTTCTGACTTGCATTTTTGTGCATTCAACTAAAAGGTTTTGCATTCTTAGTGATAGGATCAGAGTTGGATATACTCAAACCTATCCAAACCTGATCCCTTTACAGACTTAAAGTTGATTCTGGATGCTTGGGGACAATGGTGAAATTGCTGGAACCCTGAGAACAAATCAGATTTATTATCTTGGCACAGGCAAGAATTATGCACGTGACTTGTATGAAGACTTAGAAACTGAGATTATGATGTTTTTGTTTCCTTTTCCGCACAGGATCCACATCCATATTCATGTAATTGTAAACCACTGAATGAACTATAATTTTCCCATATAAATAATAGGACTTGGACTTATTCTCTCAATTTTTTTTTTTTATCAGTAAAGGTAAATTTATTAAGCATTCTGTGGGTAAGTTACCCACTTCCACAGGATTATCCAAATACAACTAGACTGCAATCCCCAAACCCAGCCTTATTCTCTCAAATTTTTTAAAGGTTAAAATATTTTTGTCATCCAATTAAGAAATATTTGGACTGAATTTTCACATGGAAAGAGAGTCAACATCTAAGCTTTTTCCCAACTATATGGGGTCAACTACATGAATCCTGTTCCTCCTCCCATCCATTCTGTTCAATGCCATAGCCATTGTTAAATCATGGGACCTTAAATCATTTCTCACTATAACCCATGTCCCTTTTGGTCTGCCCATAGCAGTGTTTTAAAAATCAATCCAAAGGCTGAACCATTTTGCCTCTGAGTCACTGGTCACCAGTTTGACCGTTCAAGTCAGATGGATCAGACTGTGACATGTCAGCATTATATATATATATAACTATAAATACATATTGTATCATCTAAATAATATATAATTACATTCCACATGTAATATATGTATTATTTTATGTCTAATTTATATTATTGTTATTTCAGTTTTTAATTTTTTATTAATAAAAAATGCTAAAAATTAGGATTTGAAGCTAGAAAAGGCGTCTTTTGGAAAAAAGAGCAGGGCAAGGCACCTTGGAATGTATAGATCTTGAGAAGTTACTCAAAATCAATATAAAGATCAACCCAATCGGACAACCAAGTGCAGAGTTCTGGCCTCTAGAAGTTTTCAATACATTTTAGTGTGTAACCTATGACCTGGTGACCAGGTCAAATGGGTTTTGACCAAGTCAACAGTTTTTGGTCAAACCTCAAGTTTTAGGAAAACCGGACCCAGAATTGTGACCAAGTGACAGTTCATATGGTTTGACTGGATGGATCAACGATGGGTTGAAAACACTATCCCATAACTCTTCAAGCCCCTTCAAGTTGTAACAGATCACATGGAAAGAGAGTGATGTAACAATATATGTTTCAACACCACCTTAGCTGCAACGTGTTAAAAATTTTGTACAAACAGTTGAAGGTCTCTTTAGTCCAAATAGAAATTATGGTATATACCTGTGAGTTATTATTATTATTTTTTTGCCTTTTGATAGGGAAGCTCAGTGGTCAATTGTTACTAGTAAGTAATGATGATTGATGAAAGTGGGATTTGATGTGGGGTTTGGTGTTGACTCCCCCAGACATTGTGTCTATGTGTGTGTGAGCAAACAAGTGAGTGAGTGAGTGAGTGAGTGAGTGAGTGAGTGAGTGAGTGAGTGAGTGAGAGAGAGAGAGAGAGAAAGAGAGAGAGAGAGAGAAAGAGAGAGAGAGAGAGAAAGAGAGAGAGAGAAATGCATAAACCTAGACCCATGTGTTCAGACAAAAATTCAAAAACCTTTTGCTCATATGGCTACTGCTAGGTAACTTACATAGAAAATCTTGAGAGGAAAACTTTCACCATATTTCCAGTCCTTTTTAAGCGCTGCATTTAAAATGATGACCTAAAACATGCCAACAAAATTTTACTCACATTTTCATGTTTGATTTGATAAAATTTATAACAAGAACAAATTGATAACGTACCATGGAATAGATGCAGCCCATGGCTGCATATATGACAAGGTTGACAAAGGCCTTATAATTTGAATAGCCAACACAGTTGTTTACCCACAGACAGTGATGATCCTGCATCCAACATTTGAGTTTTTGAAACTTACCTGTATTGTCTGAAGAGAAGAATGAACAACCAAAATATACATCACGGCCCTAGAACTTAAACTCGATATGCCTACACCACACACAGTCCATGTACCTACCATCTTCAGAATACAACTTCTGCAGACCCGGCAATGATGAGCTCTGGGGGGCTTGTAAATGCAACACTTGTCACAATATCTTGATCGTACACCCTGTTAAGTAACATGTAAACTTGGAATTGAAAAGTTGTCTCATGCAAACTTTGACAGACATGTTACTGGATAAACTATACAAATTTGAAACCTTATAAGGTATATGGTGCAACTAAAATCATAATCAGCATGACAGTTTATACAGTCACAGACATTTTGATAATTATTTGCAATAATCCTCATTTATTTATGGTGCTTATGGCTTATTTCCATAGAAAATTCCTACCAAGAAATGACTAGGCACTTGTGATTGGCTAGGTGTCAAGTATAGAAAATCTCAAGATAATCTAGGTCCTGTTTATGTTATAACCTAGTGGATTAGGATATCCCAAGACCTAGATGTCTAGATGTCTGTTTACTCATTACTTTCAACCTTAATGAGATATCCTCTGCTGTTTACCACAAATAGAAAGCATTGAATTTCAATTATGTTGTCCATGATTCCTTCAAGGGACAAATTCAAAAGTCACAAATTCTTGATTAACTTGTTAAGCATCTGCTATGTTCCCAAAGGATTGAATTCTGGGGATTTGTGGGTTGCTTTTTGTTGGATGTATGATGGTACCAATGGCCCTTGGAGTTCAAGGCATTTCATTGAAGAGGTGGGAAAACTTGGCATCCAGGAGGAAATCTATTTGAGAAATATACAATGTAGGATTACTGACCAATTGGAAGTTAATCCAGTGGAGATTCTGTGACTTGATGTATCTTATTAGTATAATCCCTGCTGTATATTACTTATATATCTTATTCTTTTTCTCTTTCAGCCCTATATGGGCATTCTTGTAGTTGTACATATCTTTTAATATATAAGAGACTCTTTGAGGTGGAGGTCATTCATTTTTGACACCTCTAAGATTATTTTTGTTCTTTTCTCTATTTAGCCAAGGGTGTTGACATGGTATCAAAGCAGGTTGCTCTCTGATCTACTTTTTCTCTCTCTTGAACATCACTAGAAGCAGTAATCCTGTCGTATCAGGGCTGTTTTGATCAAACCTTTTCTGTTCAGTCTACTTTGTGCAACCAGCAGGAGAGATTTTATTAGATCTCTCTTGGGAGGCATTGGTTCAAGGCCAAACTTCAGATCTGGTGTCGCCTAGACCTGATCTATTCTCCCTACAAACAGTATCTGATTTGGTGAAGTCTTTGAAGGAGTTCTGATCTTCTTCTTGGGGCAGCAATACTGTACAGTTTCCTTTTTTAGACTGCAACAGCTTTGGAGTTCAAGCCTTCTATACTAGCCTACGATTTAGGATTTTCTCTCCAGATTGAAGGGTTCTCTCAAGCTCTTTTTAACCCTACACTCAATTTCTGGTTTGGAGTTTTCTAAGGACTGTTTCGATCAGCACAAGGTACCTCTTTGTTCTTGGAAAAGACGCCTGATATGTTGGTAAATCACAGTTTTCTCTCAATTGGCTGACTCAATCAACCTATAACCCTAGATCTGGACTTGCTTCAGAAAATCAACACTTTGGACTTGCTTCAGAAAAAAAGACTGAATTGGTTCTTATCCCCTCATGTTTGTAGCCTTTGCTTGAAGAGTGGTGAGACAGTAAATCATCTACTAAAATCTTGTCCTTTTGTTACTCTTATTTGGGATTGGTTTTCCTCTCTCTTTGGGTGTAGGTGGGTTCCTCCTACAAGAGTGGTGAATCTTTTTGAATCTAGCTTTTTTCATCAGTCAAATAAAAGAGGAAATGTGGAGAGCAACGAGGGCAGCAGTTGTTTGGGCAGTGTGGGAAGAGAGAAATAATAGAATCTTTCAAGGGAAAGAAAAATCAGCACATGAAGTCATAGAAGGGATCACCATCAAGATCATACATTGGGTGAAATCACTAGATCTGTTCAAGGACTTCTCTGTAGATGACTTAATTAGAGGGTGGAGTGCGCTAGCAGCTTCTTCCTGCCCCTCTTTAGCTATTCAAGAGGACTAGTCGCCCCCGTTATCTTTGGATGTTAAGTTAAACTTTGCTGGCAGTTCTATAGGTAATCCAGGCCCCTCTGGAATTAGGGGTGTCTTCAGAGATGGGGGAGGAAATGTCCTGGCCCTTTATTCTGGCCCTATAGGACTGGGGAACTCTCTTAGAGCAGAAGTTTTGGCACTCCTACAAGGACTAAAGTTAAAAGGACTAAAAATAAAGTTAAAAGGACTAAAATGCCCTGCATATGAGGAGACATACAGCTAACACTTAGGGGAAAAGACCAAAATACCCCTCTTTAGTCGACTCTAACACTCCCCCTCAAACTAGAGGGTATATATCATATAATCCCAGCTTGTTACATATATAGCTCACTCTTCCCGAACTCAACCCTTTTGTGAATAGATCTACCCATTGATCACCTGTTCTCACATGCTTAGTACTTATCTCACCATTGATGACCTTTTCCCTTACAAAGTGGCAATCTACCTCTATGTGTTTAGTTCTCTCATGAAAAACTAGGTTGGATGAGATGTGAATTGCAACCTGATTGTTACAGTATAGCTTCATGGGTTTGCTTATTGAAAACCCGATTTCCTGCAATAGATTCTTCAACCATACTAGCTCACATGTATGTGCCATGGCCCTGTATTTTGCTTCTACACTACTCCTTGCTACAATAGCCTGCTTCTTGCTCTTCCAAGTCACTAGATTTCCTCCTAGAAAGGTGCAATAACCTGTAGTGGATCTCTTGCCTGATACAGAGCCAGCCCAGTCTACATCGGTGTATCCAACTACTTCAAGATCACCTCCTGGCTTGTATAGTAACCCATGACCTGGGGCCCCTTTCAAATACCGCACAATTCTAAGAACTACATCCCAGTGAGGCACCCGAGGATTCTGCATGAACTAGCTTACCACACTGACGGCAAAAGAGATGTCAGGCCTAGTGATAGTTAGATAGTTCAGTTTTCCCACTAGCCTTCTATACCTTCCAGGATTATCAAACAATTCACCTGTGTCACTTCCCAACTTCACATTTAGTTCCATGGGAGTTTCAGCTGGTTTAGCACCTAACAACCCCGTTTCTTCCAACAGGTCAAGAACATATTTCCGCTGACAGAGGTTGATGCCTTCCTTTGATCTAGCAACTTCTATACCCAGAAAATACTTCAACTTCCCAAAATCTTTTGTTTGAAAGTGATTTTGTAGGAATGTCTTCAATCTATCAATCCCAACTCTATCACTACCAGTTATGACTATGTCATCCACATACACTACCAGCAAGATCTTCCCGGCTACAGAGTCATAGCTAAATACTGAATGGTCAACTTGACATTGTCTCATTCCAAACTCCTTCACCACTTCACTGAATTTTCCAAACCAAGTACGGGGAGACTGTTTGAGCCCATAGATCGCCTTCTTGAGCTTACACACCTTACCATCCTCCCCCTAAGCAACAAAACCCTGGTGGTTGCGCCATGTACACTTCCTCTAGAAGATCACCATGAAGAAAGGCATTTTTATATCAAGCTGAAAGAGAGGCCAATATACAGTGCAGATAAGGAAATCAACACACGTACTGAGCCAATCTTTGCAACTAGAGAAAAGGTTTCGACATAGTCTACACCATAAAGTTGAGAGTACCCTTTTGCAACTAAACGGGCTTTCAGCCATTCCTCTCTCCCATCTGGTAGATACTTAACAGTATACACCCACTTACAACCAACAACATGTTTACCTGGGGGAAGATTGGTGAGTTCCCATGTATGATTGTGATGAAGAGCAGAGAGTTCTTCCATAGTTTTTCGCCAACCTGGTGAGGTAAGAGCCTCCTGAACATCCTTAGGTATGGATATAGAGGATAACAAGGTAATAAACTCACGATGGGAAGCAGAAATGTGAGATACAGAAACATAATTGGATATAGGATGTAGTGTGCAACTACATTTACCTTTCCACACTGCAATAGGAAGGTCAAGGTCAGAAGGCAATTCAGTTGTGGAAAGAGCTGGATCAGCCGCCAGAGTAGAAGGTGGTGGAGGTGCTGGCCTCTGCCGATGAGTATACACTTAACGAATTGGTGGTCTTTCAGGACACTCCTGCATTGGGGAAGGTGTAGACTCAGGCATAATGGGAACCACCAAGATGGAATTATCAACTGGAAGAGGAAGAGGAACCTCTATAGGAGAAGAAGGGATATCAGAAGGAGAGAAGTATGGCACCGATTCGAAAAATGTAACATCAGGACACAAAGGATTTTCGAGTAACAGGGTTGTAGCATTTATACCCTTTCTGGGTCCTAGAGTAGTCAAGGAAGATACATTTAATGGAACGAGCATCCAACTTGTCTAGTCCAGGACCAAGATTCTGAACAAAGCACACACACCTGAAAATCTTGGGAGTCAGAGGGTATGGAGACAGAGTGGGAAATAAGATAGAGAACGGAGAACGACCATTCAAAATAAATGAGGGCATGCGATTAATGAGAAAACAAGCAGTCAGGACTGCATCACTCCAAAAATGTTTAGGAGCATTCATATGATGAAGGAGAGACTGAGTTGTTTCAAGTATATGTCGGTTCTTCCTCTCAGCCACCCCATTTTGCTGAGGGGTGTGAGCACAATATGTCTAATGAATAATACCATGTTGTTCCATGTATTGCTAGAATGAAGAAAGAAAATACTCTCTGCCATTGTCAGAATGAAGAATTTTAAGTGAAACACCAAATTGTATATGCACTTCAGCATGAAACTTTTGGAAAATGGAAAATAATTCACTTCTTTTTTCATTAAATAAAGCCATGTCATTCTTGAACAGTCATCAACAAAGATAACAAAATATTTGTAACCATTATAAGACTCAATTCTGATTGGACCCCACACATCTGAATGAACTAAATCAAAATGACTCAACATACGACTATGAACTCTAGGACTAAAGGAAACCCGATGGTATTTCCCATACTAACACGACTCAATGACGGAACAAGAAGCTTGAGAGCTTTAAGAGATGGATGGTCGAGTCTACAATGCCACTAAAGAAGAGTCAAAGAGGTTTGAAGTGCAACCGTAGATTCAC